ATGGGCTTCCCAGGGGGTCACAGCCTGTCTGGGGCATCCCCCTGCTCCAGGTGGGCTCCTCCAGGGCTGCAGGGGGATCTCTGCACCCCTCTGGCCCTCCAGGGGAATTCCAGCCTGGAAAGGGGAGCCAATGTTGGCTGCTCCATCAAGGAAGGGGACTGGATGGTCCTTAAATTCCCACTTGCTCTCCCAAAAGCATGGGAAGGGCTTGGGAAACCAAGGGCCGTGGTGTCTCAGTGCCTGCCCCGAAGGCATTTGGGAATTCCAGCTTGGAAAGGGGAGCCAATCCCATTGGCTGCTCCATCAAGGAGGGGGGTTGGGCAGGGGGCTGGATGCTCCTGAAATTCCCACTTGCTCTCCCAGCAGTGTGTGGAGGCCTCGGAAAGCCAAGGGCTGTGATGTCTCAGTGCCTGCCCCAGTGGGATTTGGGAATTCCAGCCCGGAAAGGGGATGGAGCAGTGGGATTTGGGAATTCCAGCCCGGAAAGGGGAGCCCATCCCCTTGGCTATTCCTCAAGAACGTGGTTCCAGGGCGGCCCCAGGGACTGGGTGGAAGTTGGAGGCGGATGCAGAGCTGGAGTCGCTCGTCTGAGGGGTCCCAAGTGCCACCTGAGTTCCAGGAGCCACCTCAGACTTTCCCAGGATTTTGGAATCAGTGACTGGAGCACCTGGAACGGGGTGAAACAACCCCAACAAGCCCTGTCTGCAAAGCCATCAGTGGTGGGATGACGGGGGGGTTGGGGTGGAATTGTCCTGCTTTTGGGATGGAATTATCCTAAAACCAGTTGGACTCATTAATCCCAGAGTTAAACATCCTGAGAATGAGGTGAAAATGTGAAGATATGGGAAAATATCCTTATCTAAAAATGATAAGGACCTGTCTGACAGTCCATCAGATAGATATGATTTTATACTATATAATATAATTTATATATTTATAAATATATAAATTTATATAAAGCTATATATTTATATATTACATATATTTTATATATTATGTTTTTATATATAATATATATTTTACATATATATATAAAAGTCCAGTCCCACTTTCAAACAGCAGATTAAGTCCATCATATATATATGATTTTATACCATATAACATGTACTTTATATGATAAAAGTTCAGTCTCTCAAACAGCAGGTTTAATCCATCATATATATATGATTTTATTCTATATAATATATATATACTGGTAGTTTTAACTTCTAGACTGGGTAATAAATAATCCTGATTAAGATCTTTTTGTCTAATCATTTATCATAACAAATAATTTGTTTCATATTATTCATATTTATATAAATTTATTATATTATATAATGATGATTGTATTATTTTAGTATATCAATTTATATAAGTTGTTTCATACAAAATTTAATTTGTTATCAAAAATTAAAATTTAATTTCATATATTTGATTTATTTCTGTAATATTTAAAATATTTATAGTAATTTTATTTATATAATCACAAATATTTTTATTTATAATATTTAGTATATTTAGATTTTAAATTTTTATATTATTATATTTCATTTATTGATTTATATTATTATTCCCTTAGACTTAAATCATGGAGTAAGTCTGGGGCTAAGATTGGGACCAGCTCCCTAGACTCCTCTGGGATGAGTCATGGGGGGATTTTGGGGTTGGGGGAGGGTTTGGGGTCCTTTTTTGCACCTCGTGACTCAATGGAAGCCTCTCTAATAAACTTGGTGTGAAGCTCCCACTCCCCCCAGACGGTTGAGCCCAGCCCAGTGATGTTAAACCCAGCCCAGCAACACTGAGCTCAGACCAGTGACATCGAGCCCAGTTCATCAGCAAATTTGCAGATGACACCAAGCTGGGGGGAGTGTGGATCAGCTGGAGGGCAGGAGGGCTCTGCAGAGGGACCTGGCCAGGCTGGATCCATGGGCTGATTCCAACGGGCTGAGGTTCAACCAGGTCAAGGGCCGGGTCCTGCCCTTTGGCCACAACAACCCCCGGCAGCCCCACGGGCTGGGCCAGAGTGGGGGGACAGAAAGGGCCCTGGGGGGACTGACTGACAGCAGCTGAACAGGAGCCAGGGGGGCCCAGGGGGGCAAGAGGCCAATGGAGCCTGGCCTGGCTCAGGAATAGTGTGGCAGCAGGAGCAGGGCAGGGATTGTGCCCCTGCCCTGGGCACTGGGGAGGCCACCCCTGGAGTGCTGTGCCCAGCTCTGGGCCCTCAGGTTGGGAAGGATGTGGAGGGGCTGGAGCAGGGCCAGAGAAGGGCAACGAGGCTGGGGAAGGGACTGGAGCACAAGTGCTGGGAGGAGAGGCTGAGGGAGCTGGGGGGGCTCAGCCTGGACAGGAGGAGGCTCAGGGGAGACCTCCTCACTCTCTGCAACTCCCTGCCAGGAGGGGGGAGCCGGGGGGGGTTGGTCTCTTTTCCCAGGCAACCATCAGCAAGACAAGAGGGCTGGGTCTGCAGCTGTGCCAGGGGAGGGTTAGGTTGGAGATCAGGAAGAATTTCTTTGCAGAGAGGGTGCTCAGCCATTGGAATGGGCTGCCCAGGGAAGGGGGGGATTCTCCATCCCTGGAGGTTTTTAAGGTGAGACTGGATGTGGCATCAGTGCCATGGGCTGGGAACCACGGCGGGGTTGGATCAAGGGTTGGACTGGATGATCTCGGAGGTCCCTTCCAACCCAGCTGATTCTGTGATTCTGTGATTCTATGATTCTATGATTCAGTGACACTGAGCCCAGTCCAGTGATGTTGAGCCCAGTCCCAGCTTTGTGGATGAATTGTGGGGGTTGTCCTTTTCCTTGCTTTAGTGGTGACATTCCAGAGCAAACCCCTCACCCCAAAGATTCCCCTAACCCACCCTCTGCCTCCCACCCCTTTCTTTCCTTCCTAATTTCACCTCCTCCACCTTCCCCTTCTCCTCCCACTCCCCCCACCCCCCCGTTGTCCCCTGTCCCCAGTTAACCTCTGGCAACAACAAAGTCTCACCAGAGAAACATTTATTTGTGAAAATCCACATGGACAAACCCGACAAGAGACAGAGATTTTGGGACCTTTTTCTCCATGGAGATGCTACAATGGGAAGAAATTCCCCCCAAACCTCCTTCCAGCTGACTCCACAGAGCAAATTCCAACCTCCTGAGGGACCTCACAGCCCATCCTGTCCTCTCACAACCCTCCTGTATCACTTTATAGGATCAGGAGCCCTTTTGGGATGGAAATTTGAATTGCACAGGCCCAGGATCACTTTTGGGATGGAAAGTTTAAGCTGCACAGGCTCAGGATCTGTTTTGGGATGGAAAGTTTAAGCTGCACAGGATTAGGATTTCTTTTGGGATGAAAATTTGAAGTTGCACAGGAGCCCGTTTGGGATGGAAATTTTAGGTTGTACAGGATCAGGATCCCTTTTGAGATGGAAAATTTTAAGGGCAGAGACATCCCAGAGTGGTCCCTCCCCCTCAGCTGCTCTGGGGTCTCCCTGTCCCTCTCCTGGACCATTTTATCCATGACTGTGATTTCTCTTCCAGCAGAGATGGGATTTTGGGTGGATAAAGCACAGCAAAAGGGTCTATTTGCATGTTAAACTTTACATTATTGGGACTGGATTAATTATTCAGCTGGAAACAGGTTTTTTGGGGTAGGATGGGAGATTTATGACAAATCCCAGAATGAAGGAATCACTTTGGATCAATTCCTGAAGGCTGAAAGGTTGGGTTTATTTAAATAATTATTATTATTTCAATAGCAAATAAAATCCAGGGGCTCCTGGGCTGGGCTTTGGGGTTGTGCAACCTCATAGGAGGGCTCTGGCAAGGACACAGCAAGATAAAACCACCCGAAATCCATGTCATCCCTGTGGAAAAGCTCTGTAAACAACGGATACTCCACTTCCACCTCCGCTGGCAGATGGGGAGGGGCAGCAAAATAAAAATAAGAATAAAGGGGTGGGTGGGGCAGGTTTTTTCTGTATCCACCGGCAATCCTGTGACTGATTCCAAACAATGGGAATCTGTGCTTGGCTTCCAGTCCCAAAGCTGCCGGATTTCTCTGACAAAACACCCAAACAGGCTGTTGGTTGGGGTTTGCTGGTGGGGGGTGGAAGGTTACACCTGAAATGGGCTGGAAATGTTGTGTTTTGGAGCAGCTGAGCTGGGGATGGGGATTTGCTGCTCTGTGTTCCTGATAAGCGGGAAGAGCAATGCCAGGATGCAAGGCTGAGCTTATAATCAATGACTTAGGTGGCTTTACACTGGAATTTGGGGTTTAGAGCTCCTCCCTGCAGTGGTTTTGGCTTGGAGTCTGTTGGAACTGGACTCAGCAGCTCCCCTCGTGAGGATGGGAGTTCTATTGGGCTCCAAGGAGGCCATGGCAGAGGGATCTGGGCAGCCCTGAGTCTCTCCAGTCTCTCCAGTCTCTCTGCATTTGGAAGTGCCAGGAAAGAGCCAAAGAAACTCTCTGGCTTTGCAGCTGAATTTCAAATGAGAGATCTGCCAACTAACCAGGGACAGGGGCTCAATAAAGCTGGGAAAGCCTCTGGACTGAGCTGAGGGGTTCAAGAGGAGAGGTGGAAACAGAGCAGAGACCGTACGTCTGGGAAGGGGCATCTGGTTTTAGGCTTTTCAGTCTTCACAAGACTTTTTTGTGGTTTTTTTCATGCCCAGAACATCCCAAGGGTGGTGAAAACATTGCCTGGTGATGTTCCAAGGGTTGGAACCAGGCTGGGAGAGCTGGAGGTGTTCACCTGGAGCAGGGAAGGCTCCAGGGAGACCTGAGAGCCCCTTCCAGGGCCTGAAGGGGCTCCAGGAGAGCTGGAGAGGGACTTGGGACAAGGGATGGAGGGACAGGACACAGGGAATGGCTTCCCACTGCCAGAGGGCAGGGATAGATGGGATATTGGGAAGGAATCCTTCCCTATGAGGGTGGGAAGGGGCTGGGACGGAATTCCCAGAGAAGCTGTGGCTGCCCCTGGATCCCTGGAAGTGTCCAAGGCCAGGCTGGAGCAACCTGGGCTAGTGGAAGGTGTCTCTGCCCATGGCAGGGGGTGGAATGGGATGAGCTTTGAGGTCCCTTCCAACCCAAACCATTCTATGTTTGTCACATGAGTGGACATGGACCAAACATCCCATCTTGGGATGGCCAAGATCCTAAACGTGAAAAGATCCTTGTCCCTGTTCCTGCCTCCCCCAGCAAATAACCTGGCACTTGGAGGGGAGAAAGGAAGACCAGGTTTGGGTGTTGTACCCATTTACACACAACAGTTTGGTTTTCTTACATTGATCACCAGCTCTTGGACGATCCCCTGACACATTCCCATCATCCTGGTCAGGCTCCACTGGGATCATCAACACTATTTACAACAGGTGGGAATTTCCCCCACTTTATTTCAAGAGTTACAAGATGCCCAAGAAGCATTTCAGGCTGTAAACTGTCTGTTTGAATTGAATCTCCCCTCACTCCCTGGGGTTATCCCACGTCTCAAGCTGAGCCTTGCCTGTGAGAAGACACTGTCATTGCTTTGCCCTTCTCATGATCATCTCAAAGATCATCCTTGGGGCATAAAACACAGAGGCCAAAAGGGCAGCGTGGTTATAAATATCTAAATATACACATATAGAGAGATATTTATGGTTTTTTTCCATAAATTCTGACTTCTGGAGGCTCAAAAACCGACACAAACTCTCCTGTGAGGGGTTTGAGCCAATCTCCCCTTGCTTTATTCACCTTTCTGGAGCACGTGGAGATATTTGGTGTCATTAAATTGTGAGTTTGGGTTGGCAGCTGGAAATAAATCAGATTTTGGCTCTGGTTTGTAGCACCTTCTCAGGTATTGGCTCCTATGGACTGGGTGGGAAGGGTTTCCTTGTCCATCCCTGGAGTTAAACCCTTGGAATCTTCAACTGCCGCCCCTGGGACTGGTGGGGTTATGGAAAACCAACCCCCCAGGCAGGGTCCTGCCATTCCCCTTCTCCAGGATCCCGGAGTTTGGGAGGCAGAGACACGGGAATGTGTCCTAAAGCGACAAGGATTAAGAATTTAAGGAGGAAAAGTGTATTCCAGGGTGTGTCCAGAGCATATTGTGGTTGGGAAGAGGGTGGAAGAGCTCTTCCTCTAAGGGCACTTGGCAGGATTTGGGGTAAAAATGATCGTTCTTGTCAATCCCCTTTTTTGGTCCTGGATTTGCCCATTCATTGAATTTCTGCTGGAGTAATTCCTTCAATATGTGGGTGTTTATCTCCAAGAGCCGTCGGGGCTGGGATTTATCCAGGACTAGCTCTTCCAACAGCCAGTTTGGAGCCTGAGGAGTTGAAAAGCCCCAAAAGTCATTCCTTTTTTACTCCCAGAGATCTCTGGCTGCTCAGCAGGGTCTGATGTTCAGCTGTTTGAAAATAACCTTTCCTTGCCCTATGTGTGTCTCCACTGTTCATCTCTCATTCCTTCACTGAATCCATTTAGGAACCTGATTTCTACACCAAAAATGAGGGATTGGACCATCAACCAGACTGCCCCCAAACTTGTGGGTTTGTCCCCAACAAGCCACATTTGTCCACATCTCATTTTATTTGCTTTTTCCCCCCTCTGAGGGTGTGTTCATCCATTTGATGACCCTTGAGCAGGGGTCCTTGAGCAGCCCCAGGGAAAATTATCCATCTGAGCAGGACTAAAATATTCCATGTATCCACGCACACATCATAAACTTCATGTTTTCTGCAACAGAAAAAAACAAATTCCCTGATTAAATGAAATCCAGAAGGTGGAAGTAAACCATTTCACCCTCCTCTGAATAAAGAGTCTGGAAAAATCTTCATCTCCCTTCAAACCTTATTTTTCTGATGGAATCCGTTTCCAGGGTGTGAAAAACATTTCAATGTGGTCTCTCCTTTTCCAGACCTCCACAGGATTCCAGGATCTGTCCAAGGAGCGTCGCCTTGGGCTTTCTAGGAAGTCACAGTGATTGTTTTTGGCACATGTGGTTGATTGAGAGCAAGCAAAGCCTGGCTTAGGTCAGGAATCCTTTGGGAGAGCCCTGTTGGATGAGCTGTGGTTGGAGACAGAGCAGGAGACCATCCATGTGGGTGCTGGAGAAGAGCCAAGACCACATGGAAAATCCTGGATCTGACTGAAGCTCCAAATGGATGATGATTCCCAATGGATGTCCAGGCTCCTGATGCCGAAAACAACATTTTTCCTGGGTTTTGGAAATAAATATCCCCCTGGATATCCAACTGGGAGTGACAGGCAGAACGAAATTAAAGGTGGGAAGGGGGAAAGCGCAGGACAGGCTCATTTTCCAGAGGCGTGGGATGCACTGGGAGATCCTTGCTGAGAACATGGGAAGCTCCTGCCAAGTTGTAATCACAGTTTTGGAGGAAGAGCCAGCTCTGTCCCATTCCTGCACCCTCTCCACACGGGCCATGATGGAACACATGGAACTAATCCAGAGCTTTCCCTCCTGGGCTCGCCCGGGGATGGCGAGCGAGTGGGAGATGACAAAACACCACAGAAAACACCAGCACATCACAAACCAGGGCCTTGGGTGGAGCCCTGGAGCATCCCGGTGAGGGCAGGGGGGTGGTGGCACCTCAGGAGTGGCTGATGGAGCCGGGGAGCCCCTCAGGTGAGGGTGTTGGAGTAGAAGCTGAAGCTCTCGGAGACGGTTTTGGAGTCGCTGCGGGAGGAGCCGTTGGAGGTCACGTCTATGGAAAGACGCTTGGCCTTGGAGGGCTCCTCCAGCTCCTCCTCCGCCATCCCCACGGCCAGGGACACGGTGGTCTCCATCCTGCTGGCCTTGTAGACGCTGCTCTGGGTCTGCAGGTACCGGGCTGACTTCAGCTCCAGCCCCTCGTACTCGCCCGCGCTGACCGGGGGGCACCACCGGAACGCGTGTTTGAAGCCCACACGGAACCTGGGGGGGGAAATCAGGGGTGAGGGGCCTGGGGAGGGCAAAGGGGCCTCACTGGGAGTGGGGAGATAGAGCTGAGAACTGCTGAACACGACTAGAAATGCTGCTTTTTGCTAAAGGGGGGGAAATCCACCGATAAATCTCCATTTCAGAGAATCACGGGATATGCTGAGTTGGAAGGACACACAAGGATCCTGGCCCTGCACAGGACCATTCCCAAGAGTCACATCCTGTCCCTGAGAGCGTTCCCTAAATGCTCCTTGAGCTCTGGTAGCCTTGGGGTAATGGCCAAACCCTGGGGAGCCTGTTCAGTGCCCAACCACCCTCTGGGGAAGAATTTTTCCTGAGATCGAACCTAAATCTACCCTGGAACAACTCCAGGCCATTCCCTGGGTCCTGCCCCTGGTCCCCCCAGAGCAGAGCTCAGTGCCTGCCCCTCCCCTGCCCCTCACAAGGAAGTTTAGTCAGGACTGTTTTGATACCTCAAATCCCACAGGGCCTTTAGGAAAGACTTTAGGTGAGGGTTGTACCATTCCAGCATCTGCTGGAAGCAGCTCCTAATGGAGGATGGGGCAGAACCATCCCAAAAAGCTCTCCATCCATCCATCCATCCGTCCATCCATCCATCCATCCATCCATCCATCCATCCATCCATCCATCCATCCCTCCCTCCCCTTCTCCATCAGACCCCTCTGTATCTCCCACTCCTCCTGTCCCTGTCCCAACAAAGGTGTCCCTGGAAACCTGTCAGGGTTGACAACAGGTCTGTCAGAAGGAAGTAAGAAGATGGAAGACAGGAATTACAAAAATGGATTTCCTGGACTTTCTGCAAGTCACGGTGACTCAGCTCTAACCAGGTCACCATGACTAAGCATGGTCACCATGACTTGGCTATTTGACAGCCAATCCTGAAGTATATGTCTATAGAAGCACCAACTGTAGGTTAACATGTGTGTTGTGTGAAGAGTATAAATGTCTGTAATCTGCTGCAATAAAGGTCCTCCTCCTCCATCCTTCTGTCCTGACCCTGCTTTGGAAGAAGATGACTCTGTGTCGCTTTGGCCGTCTCAACTTAACAGCAACAGAGACCCACCTGTCGTTGAGGCAGCAGTAGATGATGGGGTTGTACATGGTGGAGCTCATGGCCAGCCACATGATGGCCAGGTAGACCTGCTGGATGAACTTCTGGAAGTACCACTCGGGGTGGAAGTACTGCAGGGTGAAGTAGATGTGGTAGGGCAGCCAGCACAGCGCGAAGGTGCACACCACGATGATCATCATCTTCACCACCTGGGACAGAGGGCAGGGAAACAGGGCCAGCCATCAGTCATTCCACCCACCTCTTTTGGCCCTAGAGACGTTTCCAGCTAGGAAAATCCTGGTTAAACCACCCACTTCTGTGGAGGGCACACATCTGGAGGACGCTGTGTTTCATTTTCAACAACTCTGCTCTGCACTGGGGTGGCCTCATCTCAATATTGGGGCAGTTTTGAGGCACCACAATATAAAAAAGATACATGAAGCCATTGGAGAGTGTCCAAAGGAGGCCACGAGGATAGAGAAGGGTCTGGAGGGGCCTTATGAGGAGCAGTTGAGGGCACTTGGTGTGTTCAGCTGGAGCAGAGGAGACTGAGGGGAGACCTCACTGCAGTTCCAGCTGCCTGGGCAGGGGCAGAGGAGGGGCAGGGACTGAGCTCTGCTCTGGGGGACCAGGGACAGCACCCAGGGAATGGCTGGAGCTGTGCCAGGGCAGGGTCAGGTTGGATCTCAGGCAAAGGTTCTTCCCCCAGAGGCTGGTTGGGCACTGCCCAGGCTCCCCAGGGCAGTGGGCACAGCCCCAAGGCTGCCAGAGCTCCAGGAGGGTTTGGACAACACTCTCAGGGACAGGGCGGGATTTTGGGGTGTCTCTGCAGGGCCAGGACTTGGATCCATGATCCTTGGGGGTCCCTCCCAGCTCAGCATATTCCAAGTCCTGACCTGTTCCCACCCTGATGAAGGATTTAGGGCTGGGAGCAGCTGGGATTGGACATGAGTTCTGGCTGGAGCTCCTCACCTTCCGCTTGGCCGAGACCTGCTCGTGGTAGCGGTCGGAGGAGTCCCCGGGGATCTCGCTGGCCCAGAGGGTGAGTCCCACCACGGTGTAGGCACAGCCTATGACCAGGAGGGGCAGGAAGTAGATCAGGATGGTCATGCAGAAGTGGTACCTACCAAAAAAAGTGGTCCTTGAGATGGTCCTTCACCTGCTCAGTCCTTGTCTTGCCCACTGAGATCAGAGGTAAAGTGTGGCACATGGGCAAAGAGGATTTGGCACAATTCCTGTAGATCTTGGGCTGGGAAGGACTCCCTCCTCCCACCTCAGACTGGAAAAGTCACCCTGCTTTACCCCAGGCTGGGAAGGGCTTCCTCCTCTGAGCTCAGGCTGGGAAGGACTCCCTGCTTTCACTCCAGGCTGGGAAGGACTCCCTACTTTATCCCAGACTGGGAAGGACTCCCTACTTTATCCCGGACTGGGAAAGACTCCCCTGCTTTATCCCAGGCTGGGAAGGGCTCCCTCCTTTGACCCCAGGCTGGGAAGGTCTTCCCACTTTATCCCAGGCTGGGAAGGACTCCCTGCTTTGCCCCAGGCTGTAAAGGGCTCCTTCCTTTCACCCCAGTCTGGGAAGGACTCCCTACTTTCATCCCAGCATTGGGAAGGACTCCCTAATTTATCCCAGGCTGGGAAGGGCTTCCTACTTTATTTTAGACTGGAAAGGACTCCTTGCTTTATCCCTGGAAAGGGCTTCCTACTTTCAACCCAGACTGGGAAGGTTCCCTACTTTCATCCCAGTCCTCTCCAGGTCTCTCCTGCCAGCCCCTGGCACTCTCCTGGAATGGGATGTGCTACTTCCCAAGGGAAGGATGCTGCAGCTGAGGGGAGTTTTTTACACCCCAAATTATCCCAGAGATGGATGTGGCCTCTTCTTCCACCTTTCAGCTGGAAATCCTGCCAGCAAATGTGTGTTTTGGGCATTTGAAAGATGGGAATAACAAGCTGAAGAAATAAAGGCTTTTCCTGCAGGATAGAATGCAGCTCACCTAAATCCTGGTCCACCAGGGGTTAAGCCAGGCTCAGGTGGCACTGAGAATAACCCCAGTCCCCCAGAAAACCCAAACTCTTGTCAGGGAGGTTTATTAAAACTTTTCAGTGAATTCAGCAGCTGAGCCAGTTCTCCAGGCTGGGAGAACTCTCCAGGAAAGGGCAGGATCCTTGAGTGTGTTTATAACATGCATAAATAAATCCAAACCCCAACGAGAGACTCGAGATTAAACTCACCACAGGCTGGGGGCTGTTTTGTTGGGGGTTGGTGGAGCTGTGGCAGGTTCAGTAGGAATTCAGTGGGAATTCAGTGAGGATTTAGGTTAAATAAAGGGGGTTAAACAGGAATAAAATCATGCTGGTTTTCCCAAACAGAACGGGGGTGGACACTTTGACCTTGCAGGTTCCTTCCCACCCCCAGAGCTTGCAGAAACCTCTCTGTCCTGTGGGAAGTCAAGTTCTAGTGGGACAGAAACAGGGCTGGCACCAGCTTGAAAATCGTCCTAAATACTGCCAGGTCAGAGGGAATTTCATTCATAAGCTTTGGGGTCTTTACTTTGATTTTTGGGGCTGGAATGGAAGGTGCTGCATCTTTTGGAGGCCGTTCAGGCCCTGGACCACCCTCAGCTCTTGTCCTCCCTTTATTTGATTGAATAATATCCCCAAAGTTAAAATGAATGGATCAGGCTCCTGCCTGGTGCAATTCCCACAGGGAATGGGGCTGGCCACGCCATCTCCTCCTTGTTTAGTACCTGCAATCTCATTTGGCCTTCTCCTCCCCCAGCCCTAATCACATTTGGGATGGATTTTGTGGGGCTGTTTTCCATTTTGCTAATTAAAGAGGCGTCTCTGTGGCTCCACGAGGAGGGTTTTGTTGTGGTTCCCATGTAAGGCAGGATCTTAAAGCAGCTGCAAACAGCTCCAAGTTCTGCAGAAATTCCTCCTCAGAGGAGCTGGGAGACAACAAAAGCAAGGCAGACTCTTTTTCCAGAGCTGCCTGGGCACGGCCAGGGATCCCAGAGAGCCCTTGGAGACTTTTTTCTGTGGAAAACCAGCCTCCCTGTGGAACTACTTGTGTGTTATTCTGCCTGCAAGGATTGCAGGATCAGAGCACTCAGAGAAACCTGGGGTTTGTAATTTAAGGGATTTAAGGTCTTGTGTGGGATGGAGAAGCCTGGAGGAGTTTTGGGATGCCAGAGGATGGAGCTGCCTCGCAAAGCCCAGATCTGTTGCCATATAAAGGATATCCCTGTGGGCTCTGATCTTCCGGAGAAACAGCAACTGGGGGGGAATTTCCCTTCCCTTTCCAAGCAGAAGTGGCAGCTGATAAGATTGGAATAGACTAGCCATCCATTTGGGAACAAAAGAGAGAGAGGGGATCGATGGCACAATCGAATCCGCTGCAATTGTCAGCTCCTGCTGCAGACACTCCTTGTGCCGAGGCTTCCCCTCCACCAACAAGGACATTTTCCCAGTGAAAAATCCCATCCCAGCCTCTGACACCTTCTGCATCCTGAGGATGGACTGTCCAGGCTCCACTCCCCAAGAGAAACCCCCTGGAGTGAGGAGAAACCTCTCGTTTTCTCCCTCAGGAGCTGAAAAAATGATGTCATTTTTCATCACGGCGTCACAAGCAAAGCAGCTGCCACTGCTGCCTTCCCAAAATAACCTTTCCAAGGCCATGGAGCAGGAGAGGAGGGCTCACAGTGCTCCAAACACCTGTCCCTGCCGTTATTTTGGGGCAGGAAAATCCCTTCTCGAGCTCTGCTGGGCTTTGCATAGGAGGGTCCGTGAGGTTCGATGCTGCTGGAGCTGCAAGTTCCTTTCAATCCTCAA